GCGAAGATTTTTGGTACTTTTCAGGATATCAAATATCACACAATAAAATGGATCTGCTCGTATTCGACGTATCTCTATTCAGCATTAGAATATATTAACGCGACAACAGGGAATAGAATCTTTTAATACTTGTTAACACGTCCGCTCTCCGTTGGACTATATATTTCTTTTTTATCGAATTTTACTCGAGGCTTAAAACATCGTGACATTTTATTAGTAGTAAAACATACGCGATATAAAATAAAATAAATATATATTTTTCAATANCTCCAAAATGAAAAATGCATCGATACCCTTGATATCGATCCTTCTGGTCCCGAATGAATTTTCTTAAAAAAAACATTCTTGAAAAAAAAAAATATCTTCCGATACTTCTTCCTTTCTCGTCTCGTTCTTTAGAAAATTTTCTATGTACAAAAAAAAAAAAAAGAACCGATTAAAATCTCGTGTTGTCCGGTATCTTCACGAAATACGCGACTTTGTCCTCGGCGACCCTGTAATTATGGATCCATCTGGACCCCTTTCTCAGGCTGCCGTCGATCCCGTCCCTCCAAACGCCCGCAGGTAAATAAATCTCCCTCTGCCTGCTGCCCGAGTGAAGGATGGGCGCAACAATAAGCTCCTCCCCCACGGAGAACTCGTCGAAGACGACCAGGCAAGCGGGATCGGTTGGATCGAGCATCCACAACGGTCGTATAATCGGCAGGCCGGTGTCGAGTGTCTCGTTCGCGTATTTCTTAAGGAAAGGGGTCACCGTTTTCTGCCTCAAGCTTGTCAATCTCTTCGCTATCTCGAGAACGGAATCGTCCGAGTATTTGCTCGGCAAATGGGTGAATCGTATGACGGGGAGGAAGGTGGACAATTGCAACCATCTGATGTACAATTCTTTGTCGGGCAGGTTCACCTCGAAGTCGTTGTCCGGATTGTTGTCGGACATTGGGAGGGCAACGTCCCCGCCAACCGCGCCCGGCATGATGAACGGGTAACCGAGTATCCCGTAGGTGAGAATCGTCGGTATGACGGTCTTGATCGCCTTCCACGAGGAGGAGAATGGGGGAAGGGAGACGAAGACCGGGGCTCGTGGCCTGGAAATCGCCCCCGAGACGCCGATCACCGGCACGGATCCCAAAATCGATTTCGTGAATATCGTTTTGTAGTGGTCCGGGTTGATCAACGGTTGGCCGCATTTGTAGTAGTGAGGCATGTCTTGAGCCGTTCCCAAATCGAGGTAGAACGAGTCCACGTGATACTTGGTGATCAAACTTTCGAGCTTGGACTGAAGCCAAGGAAGAGTTTTATTGTTCGTAATGTCGAGAACGCCTATGCTGTTACTCTGCTTGTACCTGTGCAACAATGAACGAGATCACTTGGATACAAGTGTATATAATTAAAAACCATCTCTAATTTCGCGAATTTTGAAACGTGTTCGAACAATTTCTTTTCTCGAGACGATTAAGAAAATATATTAATGTAAAACCAAAATTTATATATACATTTATTATACACAGAGAAAGAAATACGAACGGTACGTGTTTCAAGAATCGTCGAAATGGAAATCTTTTGTTCCATCGATTAACATAGAAAAAAAGAAGAGAAAATAAAAATAATTTCACCTGGTGAGAGCGGGTATTCTTGGATCGCTTCCTCTCTCGGATATCAATAACCTGTTCGATACCGCGTCTTTGAAATTGATGGACTCGGTCGATATGAACGGTTGTATAGTAAACACGATCCTAAATCCCCTACGATGAATGATATTGATAGTTTCCTCCATCGATGGGAATCGTTCCTCGTCCAGGACGAAATCGCCCGCGCTCGGTTGCCATTCCTCGCTCAGCAAAACGTGGCCTTGGCGCAAGAACGGCAAAGCGATCACGTCCTCGGTGTAATTGTAAACGGCTGCCTCGCTGGTGGGCGATATTTGCCAGACCGGCTCGGTCAACAGTGAATGAACGGCCGACAGCTCGTCCGGCTTGAGGCCGTCCCACAAAGATTTTTCCGCCATCGACGAGTGCAAATTCTTCATGTTGTCCGTGGCGCATATGGTGTAATTCAATTGAGGATAAGGCGTGAGGTAATTGATGTAAGCGAAAGCGTCGTGTTTCGCTTGCAGGCAAAAGTGATTGCTCCTGTTCGCCCTGATGGACACGTAGAGCGGCGTTTCCGGGTCGACGAGTATCGTGGCCCCCTTCGAATTCAAGAAATACCTCTTCAACACGTTACCGAACGGATGTTTGGCGATGTCGCCCGTGATGAACGGGCTGAGCTCGAGGCGGCCACGCTCCAGGGGATAAGGCATGTTTTGAACTTGCCCACCACCGTACCAATGGCCCCTTTTCGGCGACCAATCGAAGCAATCTTTCGGGTTGTAATGGGAGCTCAGGCTCTGCCAGGTGACGTGGTAACAGTGCATGTCCGGGTGTTTCGTGTGGGCGAGGTACAGACGCGCCTGTTGAAGCCACTCCAGGCAAAC